AGAGAACAGTCATCCTGGGAAGGAAGGAAAAGAACAGAGCAAGTTAGGACAGGCGACTGCAGGAAGTATTGGATGGAGATTTGGGAGGAAGAGGGGGGGGTTGCAGCATACCTCGTGTCGAGATTTTAGGAGGAGGCCTCCTCGATGGCAGCGGCACCGGACACGATTTCAGTCAATTCGGTGGTAATGGCAGCCTGCCTAGTTCTGTTGTACTTGATGGTGAGCTTGTTGAGGACCTCGGAGGCGTTCTTGGTGGCATTGTCCATCGACGTCATACGGGTGGCCGACCTCGGCCGTCTGCGACTCGGTGATGGCGCTGTACAGCTGCGATGCGACGCTGAATTGCCAGTAATCGGCCAGGATTTCCTCGTGGCTGCCCTCGAACTCGTAGGCGGAGAATTTGCGCTCGGCCTCGACGAAGGTCTTGGGAGAGGGGAACACCTTCCTGGTCGTGGTGAAGGAGAGCACCGAGTTGAAGTGGTTGTAGAGGAGGGTCACATTGTCGGCCGGCTGGCGCGCGATGAGCTCAGCCACCTGGGCCACCTCGGTGAAGGAGGTCTTCTTGTTGGCGCCCACCTCGCTCACGGCGTAGACGATGGCATTGGCGTACTCACGCTGGAGGGCGGCCTTGGACTTCTCGCCGACGAGGAAGAGCTGGGTGTTCTCGGGGTGATTACGCAGCACGGCCGCGCTGGCCTTGATGATCGACGAGTTGACACCACCGCAGAGACCACGATCGGACGTCACGGCCACGATGAGGTGCTTGCCGGCGGAGGCCTCCTCGGCGGGGTTGGGCTCACCCTCCTGAGGTGAAGGGAAGAACTCCTGAATGAAGCGCTGGCTCGATTCCGAGTAGGGGCGGGTCTTGAAGAGCACAGCCTGGGCCTTGTTGAGCTTGGCCGCGGCAATCATCTTCATGGTCGAAGTGATCTTCTTGATGTTCTTGATGGCCACCAGCCTGAGCCTCACTGATTGTTGGGGGGGGGGGTAATTAGCTCCCATTTCGAACCATTGTGGCCAGTAAAGAGCCGAAGAGAAGAATCGTGAACTTACACTCCTTCAAGTTGCCGGGGTAGTGACGCACGCCCACGGGGCCGAGCTCATTCCTGCGAGGGGCGAATAAATGGTCAATTCGAATGTCGGTGCACTCGCCTCCAAGGTATAATAAAAGCCTCACCTCTCGAATGTCCTGGCAGTCTGGACAGCCGAGGTCCTCAGCTCAAAGGCACTAGTCCTGAGACCGACGCTAGAAACTCTCCTCATGTTTGATTGATGTAATGGATGTCCAAGGAGGCGCAATCGATTATTTTTCTGCAGGCACGTTTCTTCGGTGCGGCCAATTATTAAGGAGGCGGTCAAAAAAAAAAGAAAATAAATTAATAATTGTTACAGCTTGGCGCTACCACTTCGTGTTGGGGTTGGGCTTTGGGTTGAGGCCAAGACTTGGCCGGCCTCGTTCGTTGCCGAACGGGGGGTTCTCCTGAAGCAACCACGAAAAGTCTCCCGATGCCACGCCCGATGCTGCCGAGCACCACCGTCAGCTTCTCGTCCGATGTGCCAACGTGCATGTGCGGAGAGGACGGTATGCCGTACCTAGCGGAGACGGGAGTGGCGACGGAAAGGAGAGAAGGTCAATGCCGATATCAGCACCGCCGTTGGATTCGGTGGGCTCGAGTTCTGTAATCCTCGCTCGGCCGACCCCGTCGGCCGATTCTCTTGTCGTGTTCGCCGCCAGCATTGAATTGATCTTGCTCCCTCGGCTCACGAGCGACGTCGGCCCATCCCCGGGTGGTCCCGTGAGAAAGCCCCCGGCTTGAGCCGCTCCTGTATCGGCGGTGAGTCACCTTGCTTGCGGGTATGCGGCGACACCTAGTGAGCATCAGATAGCGTTGGGTACCGAAGAGGGCCTGATCGTTGCCGGTGGCATTGGACGCCCAGTCCACAGCGGCCCACTGGAGGTTCTCCATCGCAGTCGGGTCGTCCCTTTCACGGGCGAAGAAAGAAGCTGCCGAC